TAAGGCTTATTAATAAGGCTTACTAAGAACTGTTTCTACCACAGTTAAGTAATAGTTAAGGGTAAAAGCATGACAGTTGGTGATAGTATTTCCGATCCATACTTATAATCACGCCTGTAACCCTTGCGGGGTAGGCAGAGCATCAACGGATTACCTAATATCGTCTGCGAGGTTATCGCCTATTCTGTAAATTACGATGCACCAAAACGTTTGAAGAAAATCAGCTGGTGAATTTTATGTTTTTTATCGCTCTCTTCCTGGTCCTGTGTGGAAAAATATAGATCCATTCATTTTTTATCTTAATTTTGGTAAAAAGACATAATAATCCAGATATTCTGACCTTCTGTGTTCTACTTGTTTTAAAGTAATAAATTATCATAATTATTATTATTATCTGTGTTCGTCCATCGTACCGTCGTCCGTCTTGTAGAATCACGGTGGTGCCACCTAGCTGAATTTAATTTTGCAACATATTCGATTTTCCCACGGGAATGATATGTTGTTCCGCTGAAAAAAGTAGCCTATGTCACTCTACAGCCACCGAACTATCCCCATAGAAAAAATCATGCCATGCCGACGCTCTGTTGCGACGTGAAAGACGGACAAACTTGTGCAACATATTCGATTTTCCCACGGGAATGAGATGTTTTTCCGCGGAAAAAAGTAGCCTATGTCACTCTACAGCCACCTAACTATCCCCATACCAAAATTCATGCCATGCCGACGTTCTGTTGCGACGTGAAAGAAGGACAAACAAACAAACACACTTCGCATTTATAATATTAGTATGGATTTTCTTACGTTTTGGCTTCTTTTGTTTCACCACAACAAAATTCGGTGATGGTAGTAACTGTTGAAAAGGAGACTTACGACTTTTTGCTTTCAATCTCGATAATGGCAAGTTGTATTCTGAACCGTCACATACTTGTCTTACGTTATAGATGTCGTTACAGGTTCTATGTTTCTTGGGAGTATGTTCTTGTCTTGATATAAGATCCATATTTTCATCATCAGAAGAACTGTATATATCATGGATAAACTGACGTACACCTTGCTGTCGAATTAAAATTATTAGGAGTTTTGTGTTGTTCACAAAACACATAAGCTTGACAACGAATGACATTTGGCGTTAAATGAAATCCTATGGAAGCAAGCCTTATGATTCTCGACGCCAAATCATTTTTTTGCTCTGGTGTGAAAACTACGACATTTTATTTGTTTTTCGGATTTTTCAGATTTCAGGTGGTTTACCAAAGTTCTTCTGGTAATAGAATACCGCGCAGGCGCCGCACGTTGCGACATCAGTCCTCCTTGAACAGCAGCCATTGAGGCTTTTAATTGCTGAAGCGACCAAAGTCCTCGACGTTTTTAGCAGTAGGTTCCGTAATTAGTTCAAGTATTCTGAAAAGAAAATAAATACGATCGAGCAAAGCAAATGCAGATGAATTAAACAAAAATTACAATATTCAAAAAAAAATTAACTCATGAGGTTGTGAACAATATTTTAAAATTAAAAGCTGGAATATAAGAAAAAAGTTGTGCATATGTTAGGAAAACTAGACATTCCGTAAGTTTAATAAGGCCGGCCCTATTAAGCCTTGTAAGTGGCTCTTATTAAAGTATGGGTCTAAGCTTAAGCTTTTCGATGTAAAATTGTTAAATGTCAATATAACAATTGAACTTACCTTGATTAGTTAACACAAATCACTATTTTTTAATATAATACAGTAACTATTCCGAACAGGAGGCTATTTACGCACATTTTATCACCTTTGTGGAGAGATTTTAACTAATGAGTGACGCAAACCTGGACGGATTCTTGGCTACTGAAAAGATGGCGGATCGTACGATCACGCGTCAGCGTAATTAAGCCTTTCTATTGGTCCTATATATGTTTGCGTAAATACGCTGAAAGTGTGTTTTCTAGTGGTGGCTCCTGCAAAACGCCGGCTCTGCTTACCCGCAGGTACCTTAATCACATTACATTAGTGTTACACTCAACCCAGTTTACGAGTACCCGTGTTTGTGCGTTGAATGAATTCGATTCCCGGTATCGTATTTACTATTTTAACGTGCTACTTACTTGTATTTCTAAACTTTTTAAGCAAGATATTGCAAAGAAATTTGTTAGTGGGGAAGCATGCATGTACACGTTAATTGCGTGTAAAGTTACAGCCTATAGACGTTCCACTGATAGGACTTCACATGTCCTCTAACCTCGAACTCCTTAAATGTATGCGTATTGCGGAGTTTACGGCAAGCTATACTCACTAAGCTAATATGGCTATGTGCATGTGTTTGTAAATATATTTCCTAATATTATGGTTGATAGTTAAGCTTAATTGTTAAAATAATGATTGCTCGTACGTGATAGTTTAGTGGATAAGGTAACGTGAGCAAGCCGAGTCCGATCTCAGCCAGAACAAATAAGATTGTTAATTTCGATTGTAAGTGCTGTTTTATTACGTGCTTGTTGGCTATAGAGGAATATGCTGAGAAAGCCTGTATGTTTGAAAAAAAAAAACGAGAATATGTGAACTTTGCTAACACGCATAGGCCAGCACGCCGTCACTTCCCTGGTCTAAAACCCATCTTGGAAATGAGTAATGTTTCCATCAGTGGAACACAAACTGGCTGTTACTTTATCCAATCGACCAGTGGGCTAAGTAGCTGTGCAATCCTTGTTGGAAAACGTTTTGCATTGTCGTACCAGCAAGAGCCGTGGTAGCTCAGTGGTTAACGCTCGCTGTAAATATAACAGAACGCGAGTAACCCGGGTTCGATCTCCTCCGGCACCAATGAAATTGTTAATTGCAATTTTAAGTGCTGATTTACCACGTGCTTGGCGGTGAAGGAAAACATCGTGAGGAAACCTGCATGTCTGAGGAATAAGAAAAAAATATTTCGAAGACATGTGAAATTCGTCAACACGCATTTGGGCAGCGCGGTGGACACTTCTTTGCCCTAAACCCTCTCAGAAATGAGGGGAGGCCTGAGCCCAGCAGTGGGACGTATATAGGCTGTAACTTTACTTTACTTTTACCAGCAAGTGCCAACTTCACCAGCAGTTGCGTGCAAAAGTATTTACTTAGTACTTGTAACTATTTATTTAACTTACCTATTGTCCCTTTTATTTATCATAGAATCATTTGTTTTGTTACACTTAGAAACTTGGACACACAGAAGATCGATTTGTCATCGGAAATGTCTTTATTTGTTCCAAATTAAACATGCGCCCATGCGACGCTGCTGACTCAAAAAATAACTTAGTTACTATAGTATTCTTTTTAAAACAAATAGGAACTCTGATACTATTCACCCCCGTGTGGTGTATAATGTTTACACATACATAATATGCAGATATGTATGTGTAAACAAAAATATCGGCAAGCAAAAAACTTTTTTATACGCAAGAAAAATGTGTCGGGTAGGAAAACGAGATCGAAACTGTGTTTAGTGTTTAGAATCAAATACGTAGAAACTCTAGTTAATATGTGCAAACACGCGCAGGAGGTTGCAGGCTTGTAGGCTTGACGCGATCATGCTTAACTGTAATGCCTACTCCACACTTATCTGCGAATCGCGCGCTAAGGTGCGAATAGATGCGAGAGCGACCATTGTGCGAACGCGTAATATGGAACCGATTTGTATCATTGCGCTTTTTTCGTGCTTTGCGTTATTCTTCCAATTACTGTGGATTTTTTTGGTGAGTCAAAGGAAGCGCGAAGTGTGAACTAGCGCGAAATTGAAGGGCTGCCACATTACATACCGTTCAATTTAGTATCAGAAACTTTTGATGACAGTAGTTTATGGATTGATAAAGAAAACCTAGAATAATAAACTACATAATATAATATTTATATTGGGATCAAAGACATTTATTCTCATAAGAATTTACAAAAATTCACTTAAATGAGAAATACATTAAAAACAAAATACATAATGAGTGTTAGGTAGTATATTCATAGTTATATCTATATTCAGAAAATTTTGTGTCCAGGGGTTTTCGGGGGCAATAAATCGATCTAGCTAGGTTTTTTTTAGAAAATGTCGTTTCGTCCGTATTTTCAGGCAATGAAAAACTGCTACAATATAAAAAGGTAAATTTTGACACTTTATTAATGATCGTAATAGCTCATGTGGATGTCGGGCCTTTGTGAAATTGTAGTGCCCTGGTGCGCGTCCTGTCTTCGGTCTGACTTTTTTTGCCTTTTTTTCAAGTCCCCTTCTCTTGTGAGAAAATCTATTATTTCGAGCCCTTTTTTAGTATTTTTTTTAAAAATATGAACATTTTAAACAAACTAATTGCACTCATGATTTTTTATTCAAATAAACAGTTCAGTTTTTTTCTACTATGTCAATAAGATCAAAAAATATTATTCATTTTTCATCAGTTGGTAATTTGTATCTAAATATAATTTCCAAAACACACGATTTCCAAAAAAATACCGTCATCAAGGTACTTATATATAATATAATAAAAACTATACTTTTTAATTAGGTAGGTATTTATTAGCAATAAATACATATCTTAATACCTACCTGTGCATGATAGGAGACGCAGCAAAAATTACTTCGAAGTCTATCTCCTTCAAACGTGCGAACTTTATTGGAACCATGCGAACGTGGACCTTGGAGTCATTGCTTATTTCGCGAAGTTTTCTCTCGGCGACGTAACGCGCGATTCGCGGAGTTAGTGTGGCGAGGACATAAGACTAAAATTTCACTATCAAAAAAAGACTGTCACGTATTGCGTTACACCGTTGTATTATCATAACATTAGTTGAGAAACCTTGGTGGTAGCTCAGCAGGCATTCTCCACTTACGGAATATCTTGAGTACACTTAATTTCGAAAACACAAAATGTTTTAGATTAGGTAGGTACACCATTATCTAATTAGGTCTCATTGATAGTCGCATACCACTGTTAGAATTACCTCTTGGTACCTAGGTATATAAAAAGGGTGTAAAAATGTTAAGCTAAACAGTGTAAACGAAACATGGCTGCGTGCATTAGTTTCTTGGTCTTTAATATGATTTCAGTTTTAATAATTCAGATATTAATTACTCCAAGTCATGCTGCGCCCTTATTAGAAGAATTATTTTTTGAAATGAGAGAAGAATCTGGTAATGTTTATTGCTGTACAATTTTTCAATTATTTTAATTTCATTTTCCCCTTGTTTTTTAAGGGTAAATAGAAGGAATACCTATTTCCTGTAAATAAGTAACACCAACAAAGTGATTTAATTATTGCATATGTAATACACAATATGTTATGTAATACATTATACGTGGTAGAGCCATGCTGCAGCTATATTATGGTTGTAGCACGAATGGGTCGTCTCGACCGGGGAAGGACGACGCTCTTACAGAATACCAGCGTAAAATAGCACCTCAATACTGCTGTTCGTATGGTGAGTGTAGAGACCTGGAGACCCTTTTTTACTGAAAACGAGGCATTCCATCTTTATTAATCGAGGATTGATGTAGATGTCTATGGGCCACAGCATCCACTTACCATCAGGATGGACCATGTGCTCGTATGACATGCCCTTATTCTATAAAATATAAAACAAATAATACTATTTTTCTGAAATTTAAAATGGTCATAGTTACTGTTCTGTAGCTATTTTAGTACATCGTTTACAGGCTTTGTGAGGTCAAATAAATTCATTGAACTATTATTATGTGTCGGTTTTAATTTTATTATCGACACTACATTACGGATGCTTCTAGTTTTGGTGTGTTATTCTGGGCGACATTGGTCCTTTTAATTATTAGGTTGGGGAGGTAGTTCAACCCGTCGAGTGAAATATTAGTTCTTTCTTTTGTTTTCGTATAGGTAATGTTACTAAAGTTAATGTCAGTTTAGTACATAGTACCTGGATGACCGAGCTTTCCTCGGTATTTTTTTTTTGGAAATTATATTTATATAGGTACAAATTACATACTGATGAAACATGAATAATATTTTTTGATCTTATTGACATAATAGAAAAAACTGAAGTGGTTATTTGAATAAAAAATCGTGAGTGCAGTGATATTTTAATTTAAATTTTCGTATTTTAAAAAAAATACTAAAAAAGGGCTCGAAATAATAGATTTTGTCACAAAAGAAGGGAAATTGAAAAAAATGGAAAAATGTCGGACCAGAGACAGGACGCGATCCAGGGCACTCCGATCTCGCGACTGCCCGATATCTCACTTGAGCTATTACGATCGTTAACATGCCGCCAAAATTTACCTTCTTTTGTAGCAGTTTTTCATTGCCTGAAAACACGGACAAAAGGAAATTTTCTAAAGATGAATCCTAGCTAGATCGATTTATTGTCCCCGAAAACCCCTGGACACTAAATTTTATGAAAATCGTAGGAGCCGTTTCCGAGATTCCGATTAAAGGTTTAAAGGTATAGGAATTTGTTTATTCTAAAACACTGAAAATGTAAACTAATACAATACTGTAATTTTAAGCTAATTTGCATTTTTTTTCTCCAGGATCAAGTTTAGATTTTGAACTAGGAGAATACTTTGAAGGAGATATGATCCTAATGTCGCGACAGAAACAAGCAGTTTTAGCGGCGGAGAAAAACCGCAACGGACTTATAGACGGTGTCAAGCGATGGCCAGCGCGTACCGTTGTTTATCAGATCGAAGATAATGATTTTGGTTTGTGTTTTTTGTAATACAAATTACACAGAAATGTGTCGCAGTAGGAGGGTCTCACCAAACCGGATGGTCTGAGTGGTGAATATGCTCACGAATTGCATACCTGATGTCGCATTCTTGAAAGGGTATTGTGTCCAGCAGTAGACAATGCTGACTGTTTGAGATTAGCTAGTTTTGAGTTTCTCCTCCACTCAGTCTCTTTATTATTATTGTTCGATATTAAAGTTATTAAATCAGAACACTTATGAAATTACTGTCTAAATTGAAATGTAGCAGGAGACAGTTCTGAAAGCTGAAAGATTTATTTTTAAATACACATATAAATGAATAATATTTGTTATTTATAAACATATTTTATTGGCAAAATGGTTGTTTTTCGAAGTAATAAATCATGAACAGTAAAAATTTCAGAGTGGATTACCATGAGTTGGTGCTGCTCAGAGCTAGGCCAAAATGCTGTTGATCCAGTATGAAATAATTTCGAAATGTTTAAAGATTTTTTTTCTTTTAATTAAAAATGGGCTCACTCTTGACCTACATCTGACCCGGAAGCCCAGACGTAGTCTACGATGTAGCGAGTTTGCCCAGGAGGAGCCCGTTGTCATGCACCTTGAAGAGGTCCAGGTTATAAGTACTCGGAATTACAGACGCCGACAGGGTATTCCATTCCTTGGCTGTGCGCATTATAAAATATGATTTATAGCGCTTAGTGCTTATATTCGGAATGTCAACCAAGTGTAGATGGTAACCTGCAGTACGTCTGGTACTCCTATAGGCGAATGGAAATGGCCGTATGAGCTTATTAAGCTCATAGGCACACTCTCCAAATTACAATCTGTAGAAAACCGACGAGCAAGCAACTTGGCGGCGGTGACCTAACATGTGAAGCTTAGTTTCTACCATCTTTTTGTCGCTGTTAAGTCTCTTAGCTCTGCGTTTCACTGAGTCGAGTGCGGCAAGTTGATATTTTGCTGAGCCATCCCAAAGGTTGCTACTTTTACTGGCATCATTTTAAAAGTTAAGCCAAAAGCTGACTTTCTTTCACAAAATGCCATCCAGATTGCAAATTTTAGGCTACCGCCTGAGCCTCTGGCCCTTGCCCCCTCCCCTTTAAAGCCTCTGCTAATAATAATCCATAATTTTTATTTTATACAGATGAAGAACAGGTGAAAATTATAGAAGCTGCTATGGACGACATCGCTAATAAGTCCTGTATTATGTTTAGACCTAAAGAAAAAGACGAGCACGCAGTCTTGATTAAGGTTTTTATGAAAATTTGTGTGTTTATACGTGGTAGAGCCATGCTGCAGTTATATCAGTAGTATAGTTGTAGCACGAATGGGTCGGCTCGACCGGGGAAGGACCACGCTCTCATAGAATACCAGCGTGAAATAGTAGGTTAATGCTGCTGTATTTCGTATGGTGAGTGTAGAGAAACGGAGACCCTTTTTACTGGAAACGAGGCATTCCATCTTAGTCCTCACGGGTGACAACGCATCTGCATTTTGATTTGTAATCGAGGATAGATGTAGATGTCTATGGGCCGCAGCAACCACTTACCATCAGGTGGACTGTGTGCTCGTTTGTCACCCTATCCTTTAAAAAAAATTCTAAATTGTATACTGTGATTAACTTTTAGTGCTGATCATCAGTGATCAATGAGTTAGTGAAAAGTCGCAAAGTAAATTTTGTAACTGGATTATTAGATAATGATCAACGAAACCGACTTTTTTCCCCGACAACCGTTGGGGATAAAAGGTTCTCGAGTGGCAGCCTCGTACCGGTAGACGAAGTGTAGGGCGACTAGATGGAGTGACGACCTGGTAAGACATTCAGGAAGTCGATGGATGCAGGTGGCTCAGGACCGTGCTTTGTGGCATACCTTGGGGGAGGCCTATGTTCAGCAGTGGACTTGTGAAAGGCTGTAATAATGATGATGATGATGATCAACGAATGTAAGTTATTGTGTAAGTGCCATGTAGTGACGTCGCAGGGCAGACCATGACGCCATTTTCGTCCTATAGGTGCCGTACGAGGCAACAATGGGAAACGCCAGGATTATTAAATGAAAGTGTGTGATATTCGCGTAAATCATTACGCCAGAATAGATAGCGATATAATTATCACATTTACGCCAGATGCAAATTATCCGGACTGACGACGAAAGGCACCGTCACAAGTTTGGGACTGGTACACAACCGTACGAGTGTCAATACTTTTGCTAAGCGTGGCGATGGTATTGAAAAGGTATAAATGTCCAGCTGTGGACGAGCCGGTGAATTAAAATGAGTGTTGATGCTATGAAACTCGTAGTTACAACGTTTTCTTTAAATATAATCAAGTTATTTTACTATAGAAACTAACGATAATTTTTCATTTTTTTGATGTTTTGCTTTTATGGGTGTCTGTTTATATTAGATTTATGTTTCCCATGTAACGAGGGAAAGTGCACCGTGTGTTAAAACTTGGATCCAATTCCACAATTACGTTATTTTTACTTGTGGATGGCACAAACATTTGAATACATTGTTTTCTCCTAAGTTTTGAATGTCTGTTTTATATTTTCTAATAGGGTTCGGCAGACGGTTGCTTCTCTAATGTAGGTTATAGCAGTGCTAGCGAAGATGACGATGAAGTGGACCAAGTGTTGAATCTATCCAAGGGTTGCTTTCGGCACGGCACTGTGGTACATGAGATGCTTCACACCCTTGGTTTCTATCATATGCAAAGCACTTACAATAGAGACGATTTTGTAAAGATTATTTGGGAAAATATAAAAACAGGTAAACATTTTGGATAACTTAATAATTATAATTTTATAATTAAATTAAACCAGTCGTTCTACTTCTCTTAAAACATACATAACATGTATAATATTCCGAATGAATAACTTTATTCGTTTCCCTATTTTCTTTATAACCAGAATGGATTTAATTGTTTGTTAAAAAGTTTAAATTGAATATATGTTTATGGGAAACATTAAATATGTGATCTACATGTGCTGGCGATAAAAGATAGGGACATATTATGCAATGTTTATTAAAAGAGGAAATTGTTAAATGGAGTGGCTAAACTATTTCAATTCAAACTTATTCCAGGCAAGGAGCACAATTTTGCAAAGTACACCAATAACACCGTGACTGATTTCGGTGTAGCTTACGACTATAATAGCGTAATGCACTACCCTGAAAAGGCTTTTTCAAAAAATGGAAATAAAACTATAATCCCGTTACAGGTAACTATATAACTCATCCTTTTGATACAGAACTTTTAAGTGAATCTAGTTTTTTGACAAAATGTTTAGTCTTTCCTTTTTTTCTATTCTATAACATGTAAATTGTAATTGACTATGGTTTTTTTGCAGGATGATGCAAAGATCGGTCAAAGAGTAGGAATGTCCGAAGGTGACATAATTAAATTGAAAAAAATGTATTGCGAGTCGGAAAAATGAGATAAAGCATAGTGAACTCGAAGACTGATCTGTTTATTAATTAGTGGTTCGTCAAACTTGAAAATTTGTTAATCATTTGCTTGTAAATAATTTTTCTCATTAAAATCGCGTTTCATTTCATTTTACAGTAAAAATAACAAAAGAACGAACGTTTGCGTTGAACTTTTTTCCTTTGTCAGACAATCAATTTGGCTTTTCGACGTTGCAAATGAACGAGTTACGCTATGCATGTAGTTAATGATTATATTATCGATAGACTGTATCTGATCGAACCTATTTGAATGTACGAGTGGCGGTGTGAGAATTTCCGCTACCCCAAATCCATACGTGGATTTCGTAAGAGGCTACGGAAGGAAATGAAACAGAATATAGGCAACAGCATCTGATAACAACTCAAAATAATGTTAAACTGCGCTTGCCAACCCGCCTGCCATGCTTGGCATTACGTATGACTGGTGATCCGCCCGGTATTTGCTTGAATATGATCTATAAATGTGGCGTTATTTAGATTTAAGATAATCAAATATGATTTAATTTATACACTTTTCCTTTTTTTTAAATCTTCAAGTCTGCGATAAATTATAGCTTAGATTCCTCTTGACATCTATATGTTTGTAGTTTCATCACAATATATATATATATATATATATATATATATATATATATATATATATATATATATATATATATAGAGAGAGAGAGAGAGAGAGAGAGAGAGAGCCAGTAGTTTTAATATTGCATACAGAAAATTAAATTTTATTTATTTATGTATTAGATAACGTAAACCGACGTTACATTGACGTAGAGGCTTTAGGAAATTTTCGTAGAAGACAGACGTTTAGCAGGCCAAATGTTTCCTCGTAAAAAGCTAATAATATTTTACTCACTGATTTGTAGACGGAACGTGCTCTTTTTGAGTTAAACCAATATTTATGACCATTTTTGACTATGCTTTAATTGAACTGAAACATATTTTCAACGAGAAGTTGATGTTTTCTTTACCTAATGCAAAATAGCTAAATAAAAGTCCACAGCTGAGTATAAGCCTCCCCCGAGATTGCCTCCATACTTCTCACGCTAAGCAGGCGTTTTCTATACGTGGTAGAGTCACGCTGAAGCTATATTATGCTTGTAGCATGAATATGTCGGCTCGACCGGGAAAGTACCTACCAAGCTCTCACAGAATACCATCGTAAAATAGCAGCTTAATGTTGCTGTGTTTCGTATGGTGAGTGTAGAGAACCGGAGATCCGTTTTGCTGGAATCGAGACATTCCATCTTAGTCCTTAAGAGTGACAACGCATCTGCATTTTGATTCTTAATCGAGGTTAAATGTCGATGTCTATGGGCCACAGCATCCACTTACCACCAGGTGGACTGTGTGCTTGTTTGTCACCCTAATCCTGTAAAAAAAGGCGGAGTAGCAACCGCGGTATTTTTAAAAGTTAAATTTCAAAGCGGTGCGTCGATTTTCCTCGAAACACACGAACATATCGAAAGCCGAACACTGATATGGGCCTAGTAGTGGAATCTGGAGTGGCGCGGCCTCAAAAGATTAATCCTTTGGATTTGCGTAAAAAGGGATAGTGTAAATTAGAGTATTACTGTAATTAACATAATATTTGTTAAAATATTTGTCTGCCTAATTTTCAACATAGACTCTCTAACTTATGTGATTAATTAACCTAATACTAATAAAACGCACGTACGACTACCATGTTAGTGTATGCATTTGAAGCAGCTTAAGTTTCAAATGTTAACACCATATAAAGCACGTGTTTTTCTCTTAAACCTGTAAGGTAGCGTGTAAACTCAGCCCATTTGTAATGCCTCAAAATAAAACAATTTATCACTGCTAAGCTCCGCCATTATGCAGAACCCTTTATTAGATGTACGATTAATGTACAGTTAATTTTGCCAACGTCGTAAAAGCGAGGACCTCATTAACACGTATATCCTACGTAGCTAGAGCGAAAAATTTCACGGATATATTATTACCACGGAACAGACTTGCACCCAATATATTATATCTAACCTTTAAATATAACATTTTTTTTAATAACGAAATAACGGACTCCTGAACTTGTGTCAACTATTTGTATAGTATAGAACATCTTTTTAATTTAACTTATTGGTCCTTCGAGTCGGGATTTTGAGATTATTGGTACTTCTTGTTTTTTGTAACCGGTATATTGTTTTTAGTGTTAGCTACACTGCATCAATGATCACGAGATACACAATCACTCAAAATTTGCAACTAACGATTTCATTGATGTTGGTGGAGATTAAACACGAATTGTGTGTGTTTTTGCGGCGAGCGCTTAGCTCCTGAGCTACCACAGTTTATTTATTTTGAGGAAAATAAAACAGAATGCGGTGACGATCAAACATCAAGATATGAAAGTTAAAATAAATATCTAATTTAAGCGAAATCTCTGACAATAATATCCAGATGGTAGGTAGTAAGTTTAATATTTTTAATACATACTTATGGTTCAGGCTACCGGTTGTAAAAAAATTAAATGCACAGATAGAAAGCAATGTCAGAAGTCTGTATGTAATCTAGGCTGATCTATGATCTATGGTTTCGCTTCAGAAGCCCTGGGATTAAGTAAAATAAATTTCACATTGTGGCAAGCACCCTAATTGGACACTGTTGTCTTAAAAAGCACATGTCCATTCTGGGACTAAGCAACTCAAGGATGTGTCGGTTCTGTTCCATAATGGAAAAAACGCCCAGAAGAAGTGAAATTGCTCACGGCTGAACAACTCCATCTATTCAATGAAGACATAAGGCTTATCAGTGAACTATAGCCATAGCAGCGATCATAAAATATCTTTTAGGTGGCAGTGATACTGGTCTCTCCCTAGACCTGCATAGCTGCTCGCACAAAAAAGTCAGTCAAAACATTTCAAATATGAAGAAATTAGTGACTGGCACATTTCGTAATTTCTGCAATGTGTGCTGCTCGCACATAATAAAAAAAAGATCTATGGTGCCTGAGGTATGATCTAGGCTGTATGTAATCCTAAAAGTTTCGAGATTATTTAAAAAATAAAACAAAACGAAAAATTGCTAAAATAAATTATTTGATTACCATCTTAACCACTATCTTAACCCCACAATAAAAGGTCCCACCCCGACTTCGCTTGGGTAGTTTATAATACGATCGACACCGACATACGGCAGACTTCCTGAAATGTTGGTACTTCACAACAGGATATTTTTATTTGATCTATGTAAGAGAACACATTCACAATCAAGCATGTACACTCCTGAATTTTGTTGAGGGAAATTATACTTGACGGATGGTAAGAAATGACTAATCTTCTTCGGCGAATTGTTGTATATTCTTATGGTAGGCCACTTCAAGATGTAGCCAATCTTGGCTGTGACTTCTCTGCCATATTATGGTAGCACAGCAGGCACACGCTCGACTGTGGCCGGTCTCATTCGGTCACTTTAATGTAGACGCGAGTAGCTTGTTATCTTACAATAGTTTCTTGACGTGCTGGAGCACCAGATGGACGGCGACCAGATGTTTTTGTCACATATCCCTTGTACCCCTGAAGCACAGATTTTCTTTTACAGTAGCTAACTGTAAAGGATGCTGGTGAGATTCACCGTTCAAATATCGATTAGTTAGGGTCTTTTTTCTATACACAGTATGACTGATGGTGTTAATAACACGAACGGATTTCGAATGAATAAAACAACTAAGAAAGCTAAATAATTATATGCCTCTAACTCAGTTGTGAATTGAATTTTAGAGTTTATGAAGTTAATTAAGGTGATCTAAGAAATCAATAACTTTGTCTGATGGAAAAATTATGAGTGTCGTTTACTGCTTGTAGAATTTTGAATTTACAGGTGAAGTAAGCAGGGCTTTCTCCTCAAAGTCCTCCATGAATATATCGCCGATAAGGGGAGATACAGGCAAGCCCATTTCTACACTGTCTACTTGCTTGTAAATATTCCACAACATTCCATTGTGAGCCAGTGCTGGTATGTTGTCATCTTTTAGCTTTCTAGTCATAATTAAAGATGTAGTCTTCAATAGATAGGTAAATAGTGACTGGACATCAAAATTGATTAGGTTTATTTGTCAGCAAGATGTAGGTCTTTTAACTAGCTGATGAAATGATATGAATCCTTTTTTTTAATTTATTTTATGTACACACATTAAGACACAGAAGCAGTCTTATAGTAATTACGTACAAAGGTTCTACTTATTCCAAATTAGCTGAAATATCTTCCAGTAGACCCATAAAGGAAATTATATTGAAATTGCAAACTTAGTGCATACATTAGTACTACTAAAAATAAATAATATACACAATGTTACGTAAATTATATAAAATAAAACAATAAATAAAAATAAAATAAATCAATAAACAATAATAATAATAAATACGATAGTTATATATGATATATATATATATATATATATATAAACTAAAACGAATATAATAGAATAATATATATAAATTAACAGGATGCAAAGTAGTCATCTCTAAGACGTTTCTTGAATACCAACAAAGTTTCGGAATTTCCTATATTTGACGGTAGTGAGTTCCATAATCTTACCGCGTGAACTGAAAAGGAGTGGGAGTAAAAACCGGAATTATAGACGGGAAAGTCAAGAAGATTTTTAACAAGGGATCTGCATGGTTTTTCCGAAGGATGGGTGAAGGAAAATCGGCTTCTGAGGTATGTCGGAGAGAAAGGGTTGTGCAAAATGTTATAGAGGAGACATAACAATCGAGTGTTCCTTCGAAGTCGAATTGGCAGCCACTTGAGTTGCTTACGAAACTGAGATATACGGTCAAATTTCTTGAGCCCAAATATAAAACGGATACACTGATTTTGCAAGCGCTCAAGTTTATTAAGAAGCTCCTCTGTAGCATCCAAATAACAGGCATCCGCATAATTAAGGAGAGGTAGGATAAGAGTAAGCACGAGTGATATTTTAGCTTTAAGGGGTAAGAAATTTTGTAGA